ATACTTCAAAAAGAATTGCCATGATGAGAGACTTTGATAAGACAGGGAGGAATGGCCTTGCTTTCGCCATCTTTACAAAAGATGGCTGATGATGAGATGAACGGGCAATAGAAGCAAGGATTGTGCAGGCCATGCAAGGGCACCGACAGCACAACAACTATTAAACAATAAAGATGACCAAAAAATTGGATTAACTCCTCTGGCTGTCTAGGTGACTGCTGAGAATAATAATTATTATAAAAAAGATGAAATATACCTTAGTAGGAAGAAATAAAACAAGCAATACTATGTGACTGCACTCGATATCAACAAGACCCGATGTAGCGAAGAAAGCTATGATTGGCTGCATTGGAAATTTTGAGGTTGCCCCTTTTGTAGGCATGATTTTAGCAAGTTTCTATCAATTGCCCGGGTGGTCTAGTGGGTTAGTAATCCTTTACTCTCCAACTATCTTCATAAATATACTAATAAAATCACAGTATGATTCTCGCTTAGGGTTCACCCTTAGCATATATGCGAGAGGTCCCGCGTTCGATCCGCGGCTCGGGCCAATCTTTTTTTTTTTCTACTTTGAGAGAGTAGTAAGTAGTACGTAGTATATATAATATCAGGAACCATGGCCACCCGGTAACACCAGGTCTCTCCCAGTACTGTCGTTCCTGTTTCATAATGATTGTCAGAGGGTCAAGATCAGGATGAGGAGAAAAACGTCTAGATTTGATGATATCTTGACGTCTTTCTTGTCTTGAAGGAGGGAAGAAGAGGAAGAGCCAGCTCACTAAATACAGACAGGGAGGGCGCTAGGCCTACCATTAGGCGCCAAACAGGCAGCCGGGCACGACAATAATCAAGACTTATGATAATATTCCTAAATAATAGTAAATGTTGAAGCTCTGATTTGCCTTATGCCACCACATCGCTTAAAGGATCAAAGGCGTGAATTACTTCAAAGGCGTTTTTGGGTGAATCAGTGCTTTGTTCTTCCACATATAAAATGTGGCCAGATAGTTGATTCTTTCTCATTTCTTTTCTCTTCTTTCCTATCTTCTTGAAGAGCTCTTTAGAATCATCAATTTGATCAATATCATCGCGGTTTTACGCATCATTTCATCAGGTTCAACGTCCAACAGTAAACAAGCGGGTAGTTGGTATATGTAGGAGGGCATATGGGCGAACCCTGGTAGGGGCGAGTCCAGCCAACAAAAGGATTTGGTGCTCATTGGGTCGTTGATTTTATCTGGGTTGAGTTCCCTTACTGGCAGCCCGGGGGCTGTGGGCTCCGAGGAGACCAGGAGAAGAGGTTGTTATTCAGGGTAGCTGGTGGCTGAAGATCCTAAATACTATTAGGTATATATATCTACAGTGGGCGTACATAAGACAATAGAAAGAAACCTAAAATAAAACATTCGCCGCAGCCCCGCCACGGTAGCACAGAGAGATGGATAGATATATTTGAAGAGATTTATTCAATATATATTACTTCATAAATATATCTAGCACAGTGTGAATAACTGATATTGGTTGGTTGGTTGGTTGGGAGGCAGGTATTTAAACTACTAGTGGCGCCAGCTTGGCAATGTGCTACCCTATACTTTTAGAAAATCCGCTTGACAACATCATGATGGCGTTAAGAACATAAAGTTTTTATCAATTGCCCGGGTGGTCTAGTGGGTTAGTAGTCCTTTACTCTCCAACTATCTTCATAAATATACTAATAAAATCACAGTATGATTCTCGCTTAGGGTTCACCCTTAGCATATATGCGAGAGGTCCCGCGTTCGATCCGCGGCTCGGGCCGATTTCTTTTTTTATTTTTTGACTTTGGCAGTGTGTGTAAGTAAGTAGTGGTGGATTCCATGTTTTGTATGTCGTACGTAGTAGGTGAGATAGTCAGCTTAATGACTAGCTGCTTTTCTCTGTTGGCTGGCTACATACAACACATATATCTATATATCAGCTCAATTTAATAAATGGTCTAGTGGGTTGGTTAGTCCTCACATATTTCCCCTTACCAACAAACACAATTAGTTTTTAACAACAACACACACAGTATGATTCCTCCTTCGTGTTTTCAAACTCTCTCTCTCGCCTTTGAAAAATAGTCGATATGGAGGAGGTCCCGCTCGAATCGCGGTTCGGGTCCTCTGCTACTTTCTTTGCTCTTTTTGCTCTAGCGAACCGTGTTTGTCATCCTGTTTTCGTGGAGATGGATGGATGGATGGGGTTGATTTGGTGGGTTATTTGTTTCTGTGTTAGTTAGCTACCCTCTTAGATTGATATCATAGATATTATATTACTCGATTGATCAACAATCTGATTTAATAAGAAGAATGAAATACACCGTGGGAGTAATGAGATAGAGAGATCTTGTCTATATCAATCAACAACTGCTCCAGGGGCTCCTCCCAACACCTCATAATCCAACCCTTCTCCGAGTTATAGATTGTGTCACAGGCCCCGAAGAAGCTGTTCATGAGTGTAAAGGTCCCGCGGTCCCGCCTCCTTCATCATTGCAAGAGAGAGGGAAGGTTTTCATCTTTTCCCAATTCTCCGATGTCGATCCATATACAAACTGCCGACATTTAACCGCTCCACTTTCCGACAGCCTGCTGTGCACCAGTGAGCCCCCTGGATTCCATTCTCCGCCGCAGCGCCGGTGCTCTTGGCACCCCTAAGAGGGTTGCAATATAAGCTCTCTGGGAGGGGGTCGGGGTAACTTTGTTGATCCGGGGGTATGTCCACTTTTGCGGGGTGGGATCCTGGTTATCGGATCTATAGAACCCATTGTTAATTTTTATGCAGGTTCTCATTCTGCAGCTTTATAAAGATCCCAGATCCTACCAATGGACTTGGGTTCTTCTATTCTGTTCAGCAAAGCTTCCCACCCACTCTGTTCACCATGCGGTTTGTTCCTGTGGTACTAGTCTCTATAGCGACACTCGTCTCCCAGGCCCTGGCCCTATCCACCACGAGAGATGGATCTACTCCCATTCGTCTATTATCGCGACGGAACGAAAGCCACCCAATCTACAAAGATGCTTCCTACTGTATTGATGAGCGTGTCGACGACCTCCTCAGTCGAATGACTCTTGAAGAGAAAGTGGGCCAACTCTTCCAAACGATGATTACGCCGCTTCCTCTAGACCAGGAACCGTCCGGCGTCTCTGCCCTCAACAGCAGCGGGACCATGATTGGCAAAAAACATATGACGCACTTCAACCTCCTAGGCGATATCACCAATGCAACCGAGACGGCCCAATTCATGAATCGCCTTCAGGAGCGAGCCTTACAGACCCGACTCGGCATTCCGATCACCATGTCGACGGATCCGCGCCATGCCTTCACCGAGAACGCAGGCACTGGCTTCAGCTCGGGCGTCTTCTCGCAGTGGCCGGAGACTATCGGTCTTGCAGCCCTTCGGGACCCTGCCATGGTAAGGAAATTCGCCGAAGTTGCCCGCGAGGAATACCTGGCCGTTGGGTTCCGGATGGCACTGCACCCGCAGGTTGATCTCTCGACAGAACCACGGTGGGCTCGTATTAGCGGCACTTGGGGAGAAAATAGTACGTTGACCAGTGACTTGATTGTGGAATATATCAAGGGGTTCCAGGGGAAGAACGGACTCGGTCCTCAATCCGTGAAGACCGTTGTGAAGCATTTTCCGGGAAGCGGACCGGTGCAAGATGGCGAAGACTCTCACTTTGTTTATGGGAAAAATCTAACCTATCCGGGCCGGAATTTCGAAGAGCATTTGAAACCGTTCAAGGCCGCCATCGCTGCCGGCGCAACTGGAGTGATGCCAGCTTACTCACGCCCCATCGGCACGAAATATGAGCCCGTTGCGTTCTCCTTCAACAAGCAAATTGTCACCGATCTGCTTCGGGGTGAGCTTGGATTTGACGGCATTGTGGTGACCGACTGGGGACTCGTTACCGACACGACCTTTGGCGGGGACCCTTTTCCTGCGCGAGCATGGGGTGTTGAGGACCTCAGTGAACTCGAGCGGGTAACAAGGATCATTGAAGCCGGCTGTGACCAGTTCGGCGGCGAGGAACGTCCTGAGTTGATCCTTCAGCTGGTCCAGGAAGGAATCGTCTCGGAGGAGCGCCTCGATGTTTCAGTTCGCCGTCTCTTAAAAGAGAAGTTTGTCCTCGGTCTGTTTGAAAATCCGTTCGTCGACCCTGAAGTCGCTGGCCGAATTGTTGGGAACGAGTACTTTGTTCGTCTGGGAAGGGAGGCGCAGAGGAGGTCCTACACTCTTCTCAGCAATGAAAAAGATATCCTCCCACTCAGACACATTACCAATGGGACGAAATTCTACATCGAAGGGTTCAACGCTACGTTCATGACTGAACGGAACTACCAGGTCGTCGACACCCCAGGGGCCGCCGATTACGCTCTTCTCCGGTATGATGCACCCTATGAGCCTCGCCCCGGAGCATTTGAATCTTCCTTCCATGCTGGATCCCTTGAGTTCAACCAAACCGAAAAGGACCGACAGTCCAGGATATATTCCACCGTACCCACTATTGTCGATATGGCTATGGCCCGACCTGCTGTGATCCCAGAGATTGTTGACCAGGCAAATGCTGTCTTAGCGAACTTCGGCAGCGACAGCCGAGCTTTTCTTGATATTGTGTTCGGAATCAGCGCGCCGGAAGGGAGGCTACCGTATGATCTGCCGGGCTCCATGGTGGCGGTTGAAGCTCAGATGGAGGATGTGCCGTTTGACACGAGATCCCCGGTTTTCAAATTTGGCCATGGCTTGAGCTATGCAAGCCCCTGTGGGGACGGCGGGAGGCGTTAATCATTGGCATATGTGTGGACTGTTTTGACTCGGGCTATTCGATCAAGTCTGTATAGATATAGGCAGTATCTACGCATGTGCCATTTGCAATTATAATGTCCTCCAGGATTCTTGCTTTTACTTCCCTGACTGACATTCTTGTATATACATACAGTCTGCCTGATGAATAAAAGGGGATACAAAAAAAAAGATTGGCCCGAGCCGCGGATCGAACGCGGGACCTCTCGCATATATGCTAAGGGTGAACCCTAAGCGAGAATCATACTGTGATTTTATTAGTATATTTATGAAGATAGTTGGAGAGTAAAGGACTACTAACCCACTAGACCACCCGGGCAATTGATGGATACAGGGGTTCAGGTATGTCTGCAGAAGGGGAAGGACATTAAGCAATAACTTTCAGAGGTAGAACTCGAAACTTTTTACCTAATAGTACTTGCTTTTGAATTGTATATAGAGAGAGATTGTGAAGGACAAGATCTTTTTCTGTTAAGAAGAAGAAGGGTAGAATTCTTGTTTTTGTGGAAAATCTACTTGGCAAATAGTAGATAAAAAAGATATGGGTGGGGATTGCTCGTAGACCAGTTCTTGGGCCTCCAAAGAAGGGGTGGACAGGTACAGGGCTATCACGCAGTTGATGGATACACTAATATATCCCCACTGCTTCCGATAAGAATCCTTATCACAGGAGGTACACATGACCATGATCGCTGCCACTGCTCTTCCACCACAGCAGGTACCTGTAACAATCTTGCTGTATATAGATAATATTATAATACAAGAAAAAAAGTAAAGGCCCGGGCCGCGGTTTGAACGCGGGACCTCTCGCATTTTAGATAGAAATATCTCCCAAAGCGAGAATCATACTGGATTCTAATTAGTAACGATATTTATTGGGTAGCTGGAACAGACAGCACTAACCCACTAGACCACTCGGGCAATTGTTGATGCAGGTCCGTTTTTATTATGGCTGATAATGGTGTTACCATACTGATTTTCCGTGGATTTTAGTCTTTCTTCTGGCGGTTGAGCCGGATCACACTGACTCTGATTCAATTCATGATCGACTCATTTAGGCATTGGGCGAAGATGGCATTCTATATGCAAGGAGCAAGTAGGGTCACTGTTCGAGTCGAGAAACTCTGGAAAGCTCATTGTATCTATTGTCTAAACAAACACCCTTGGTTAAATAAACTTCTATCATACAGTAGATGCTGATGGACTTTATTCATATCTTGGCCAATTGCAGGATAGACCTGATAATTCCATATCATGGACTCATTTAGTCACATCCAGGATCCTGAAGTCCCTTGTCTGCTTGCGCGAATTTCAATTCCTTCAATTTTGCAATTCGAAATGCCATAGTCTCTTCGGCAAAAATGACACTACCATCTCGAGGGTAATTGCTCAAAAGGCATCCTTTTTTTTCAAACTGAGACCATAGGAGCGAGAGATTTGGCTGCCGAATGATTTGAAAATCTTCCACGGGTTTCCAGTACCCACTGCCGTTACACCCCTTCAAACAACGAAGATAGGGCACCAAAAGAGTTGGTTGGACTTTTATCGTCCATTTTGCCCGCACGGACTTTGTTTGTGGGCAAGAGGGACATTTGACTTCTACCTCTTCAGGAAGGCTTCCTCGTTCTGTCTCGGTCCGGAGGAGCCAAGTGCTCTTTTTTTGCTGCTTTCGAACGTGGGCTTCCTCAAGGGTTTTCTTCACCACTCTATTCACGACCGCTGCCGACCACTTGACCTGGTTAGAAAACGGTTTGAGGGAAGGGTATGAACAACCACAACCAGGATTTCCACAGCCGCCCTTAACTGCCCATGATACATAAAGGTCGGGTTTGTACATGGACCAGAACGGAAACGGATCATCTAGGGCTAGTTGGCCACAACCGCTGCATTTCCTGGAGAGGATGTCATAAGGGGCTTCACGAAGTACAAGCAACTCATCCATTCGAGGCAGCCTATCCCTGGATATCATCTTGCCATAAGCAAAAAGCACCGATATAGCCAGATCAACAATTCCCAACGCCTCTGGTGCATCAGTCCACCCCGGAATGAAATTGTGGAGCAAGTGATAGGCCCTTTGTAGATCTTGACGGGACTCTATGGGTTTTTCATTGATTTTAAGACCTGCCTGGTCGTGGATGAGTTTTATGGTCTCCTCTGGCAAATCTAGCCAGTCATTCAAGTCCTCCATGTCCTCCATTGCGGTTAAATAAGATTCGATGCTTTCGGCGGTTGATGTTTTCGACGTTGTCGGATATCCAAACCCTTCGTTTATGCTTCTAAACTGCCTCCAGAAAGTATGAATTATCTGGAGGCGGCGGCGGCGCTAATAAACATCAGCTATGTGAATTATTCAGATGGATGCCTCAATTATCGCTTGAATAATACCTGGGTAAAGTTTGTATCGTCAATTTCACTTGAGTCTCTGGCAACCTCCGACCCCATAATAGGTCCGTCCAAATTAACTTCACCCGGATCCAACTCATTCATGAGGGACGCAATTTCACAGAGGGCTTTTGGATCTCGGTTTCGTGGGCGACGGATTTGATGAGATTTCTCTTGTGATAGAACTGTAGAAGGGAAAGCGAGCTGTAGCTGTGCTGCTGCCTCACCCTTCCAGCCCTCTCGCTCCATAGTCACTTTATGGGACACTGCTAGATGCACAGGTAGTTCTGGACTTAACTCATAGAAATGGGGTCGAATCTGAATTCTACCTAGTTTGGCCGCGATCTCTAGAGCCAGATCTTGGGGCCTTCCTTGTTTGCGCCGTATATTTCTGGCGCGATCCTTATCACTTTGGATGTAGAAGAAATAGGAAGGGTGCTTCACGAACAGCACAAATCGCTTCAGCGATTTCCTGTTCGTGTTGAGCTCCAAGAACACTTCGACGCCACTATAGCGGCCCCAGAGCTTCAAAATCTCGAGGTTCTGTAACCAGCCAGCCTTCTTCGGCGTGCCCAACAGGCGCTTTCGAACAGCCGATCCCCAGCAAATTACCACTACCGCTTTCATATTATCCCATATGCCGCTCAAGAAGCTCTCATGGACTTGCCAGAGGTCCTCTGGATATGTCATCTCCACGTTAGCACTTACATCTCGTCGACCAACTTGGTCGACGAAAAATGCGTTATCGGGGTTGAAGCCGGCTCGCTCCAATTGAGCCATTGTCGCGTTGGATGTGTCAAAGGTCTCCCCAAAATTAGGATCTTTGACAGAGAAGGTTGGGTTAAACAAAACACAGGCCACCGAGGCATCTATCGAGCCACTTGGACGAACGAGGTACCCTTCAGGTCGGTTAACACCTCTAGCCCTCCACCAGGCGGTTTCTTCTTCCACTAGCCGCTGATGAGCAGAGGTAATGTCCCAAGGTGGTTTAGCAACTAGGTTTCGATTTATGTGAGCTCACCGCCCTAAAGGGTTTCAAGTTCGATGCTCACCTGAAGGAACCCCCTCGAAATTGCGTATTAGCGATATTGCGCGATCCACCGGCTCCAGGTCCTCAGGAAGCAAGAAGGCTCGAGGGTTTGAAACAAAAAGATCTCCAAATAGATGGAACGATTCCATCTGGGATGTATCCATGTCAACTTGGAAGTGGGTATGGGAAAGAGTAGAGAAGAAACTCTGAGGAAAAAAAAGGATAAGAAAAACACAGAAGACACTTTATGTCAAAGAGGCCCTATCTAGGAACCGTAGTTTAGGACGACGAGAAGGAGAGGGTAGCGCAGCTTTTATAGAATGGAGAGGTCTGGAGTATGAGGAACGAAGCGTTGAGTGTAACAGATCGGATTATGAGAAATTTTAAACATAGAGAAGAAAGAGAAAGAAAAGAACCCCCCGAAGTCTCGAGTGAAAAGAGATTCAAATAGGGTGTCTCAGTCCATGGAAGTAGATGGAACCCACAGCCCTGGGAAGATATATATCGAATTCACTGCCCAGAGGTTAGGCCTCCGGACCTGGCCACCTAGGGTCTATAAAAGCACGCTTCCTCACCTTTTTCTTCCTTCTTCCTAGTTAGTCTCGCCAAGTCAGGTCAAGATAGAATCAATGAGACGATTTTCCCTCCCCTTGACGCTTTGAGAATATATATTTTCAAACAGGTTTAGATCTATCTACTGTACTAATATATTTATACTCTAATTGTACTACGAGAGCCATAGATTAAGATTAGCCTATAGTATTCGCCTATGAAAGGGAGGGGACAAGGGAAGCCAATGGGAGGGCGTTCCATATCAGGAAGGAGGAAGTAACGGGAGTGGCGAATATTTCAGCTGCCAATAGAACTTTTTGAAACTCGTTCGAATCGCTTCGTTTTATTTAGTCTGTGTTGACGTTTGCTCCGATATATATTGAGATCGAATATATATTATATTCATCTATCCATATATACCCGATTCAAGTCCACCAAAAACGAAAAAAGACCCAGACAATAGATAATCCGTCGAAATGTATATATTCATGTTCGTCGCAGCGGCGCTACTGATCAATGTATACGCATCCACCTGTCGGTGCCGCTCCCACGAGCCCTGCTGGCCCACCGAAGCCGAATGGAACGCCTTCAACCACTCCATAAACGGTCACCTGCAACACGTCCGTCCCGTCGGCCACGTTTGTCACGGAGACGGCTATGACCCGGCCAGCTGCGAGTATGCAAAATCCCACACAAACAATACCCTCTGGCGCGTTTCAGAGCCAGGTAAACTATCCATCCTATCCTATACTATCCCACCTCTCGACCCAGGACTGATGATTGACCAACCATGGCTTAGGCGCGCTTATCCCCATCAACTGGGAGAGCGACCCATCCCAGAACGAGGAGTGCTGGGTCGTCGGCCCTCAAACCATCCCTTGTGGACAAGGGCGGATTCCCCCCTTTGCAGTGCTGGCGGAAACCGCGCAGGAGATCCAAGCCACCGTTCGCTTTGCCAGGGAGCGCAATGTCCGGGTTGTCCGAAATACCGGACATGATTCGAACGGGAAATCGAGCGGGGTGGATGCGCTGCAGATCAACATGAGTAAACTCAAGCAGATCCGTCATACGTCGGACTTCATCCCCACGGGAGGGGGGAGTGCCTCGCTGGGACAGGCGGTCACGCTGGGCGCCGGGGTGATGGGATTCGAGCTTCTGGATGCGGCTGCTGATGCCGGGTTCATTGCATTGGCGGGTCTGTGCCCGACGGTGGGTGTCGCAGGGGGCTTCATCCAAGGGGGTGGACATTCAGTCCTGGCTCCACTATATGGCGTCGCATCCGATAATGCGTTGGAGTTTGAGGTTGTGACCGCACAAGTAAGTTAGCCAACCCTTCCCCCCCATCCCCACAAGAA